CCAGGGATCGACAGTTGGACATCCTCCAAGGGGTCCTGGATTGGAGATGGTGCAGGCTGGGATGAGGAGAGCTCCTCTCCTATGCACAAATTTCATGCACTGGGCCTCTAGTATTATGATAATCTCTTCTATGCCACACATTACAAGTTTTAAAAATTATACACAAATATTTTGTTCTAGTTAGTGAAGTAGATAGGGAAAGTATTATCTTTGTTTCACAGGTGAATACTGTTTCACAGGTGAATACACAGGTAAATGGAAACTCACAAAAACTAAATGACTTGCCCACGGTCATCTTAAAGTCACAAAGGGTAGAGACAAAACTAGAACAAACACCTCTGAATAGATGCTCTTTTATACCAATCAGCCAATAAATTAAAAGAATTCCCTTGAGGAATAAAAGTCTTGTTTTCAGAAAATGTTTAAGAATATTTTCAGCCCTAGTTGGTTTGGCTCAGTGGATAGAATGTTGGTCTGTGACCTAAAAGGTCCAGCATTTGATTCTGGTCAAGGGCATGTACCTCAATTGCAAGCCCCTTTCTGACCCAGGCCCTGATGGGGAGGCAACCAATGTTTCTCTCACATTGATATTTCTCTCTCTCTCTCTCTCTTCCACTCTCTCTGAAAAGCAATGGAAAAATATCCTCGGGTCAGAATTAATATATATATATATATATATATATATATATATATATATATTCAGTCAAATACATGAACATCAGTGCAGCAGCATTTGTCTGTGCCCTGGTGAATGCTATAATTAGAAAATGGAAGAGAAAAGGGCCTAAAACCATCAAACACACCTGGGAGTTCCTAAAGCTCTTTTCAATCTCACCTAGGGTGCAAAGACAGCATGAAGTGTTGGGAAGATGTTAGTTTGAAACCTGAGAGCTTCAGGTGAAATCTTACACTGGCTCCTGTACTTGGAAGGCAAGGAGAGACCCAAGAAAGGCCTATCACCCCAGATTAGTGAGTGGTCAATTTTAAAACAGGGGGAATTTGCCCTAGCTGGTTTGGCTCAGTGGATGGAGCACAAGCCTGCGGACTGAGGGGTCCCAGGATCGATTCTGGTCAAGAGCACATGTCTGGGTTGCAGGCTGGGTCTCCAGTGGGAGGCGTGCAGGAGGCAGCCAATCAATGGTTCTCTCTCATCATTGATATTTCTATTTCTCTCTTCCTCTCTGAAATCAATAAAACTTGAAAACAGGGTGAACTTACAGAAACTTGTCTTGAGGGGTCACATGATGAGTAGATCTCCAAACTGGCCTTTAGAATCTTAAGAGTTTCCATAGAGGCCTTACTGGGGTTCAGTCCTGTATGCCAGCCAGGCCCAGAGAGTCTCAACATCACATTGTTCTCTCTGGGCAGCGTTCCTGAAAATGGCATCAGCTTAGGAACAGTGGGCAGGGTGTATATTCCATGCCAAGCCCAGGGGGCAGCTCTTGAGTCAACAGGCAGTCATGTCCTCTTGGTGACCTCCCCCCAACAGGAGAGAATCAACTTGAAACAATAACAATTGCCATTAATACCTGACTTCTGTTCTCGCCTGAGTTTAATGTATACTTCTTTATTTGTCTTACAATTTCCCTATGAAGCGTTATCGACTTGAGCCCAGATAAACCCCACGTTCTTATGGAAATACGTAAATAGGTAAAAGGGATTTTTTTTCCCCCCAATGGTATTTTGGAATACTTTTGTAAGGCAACTTCCTTTGAAACTTGAAGTGCTAACAAATGGATGTGGAGATTCTAACCCATGGATTTATGTTTCCTTCCACTGCATCTGGGCTTTGTGCCTGCTTCAGTTCTGGCAGGTTTTGAACCAAACCTCAAGAAGCTGGTAGCTGCTGCATTCTCGTGATGTTGTCTTATTGAGGTCCTAGAGAAATTCACATCTCCATAGGATAGAGTGCGTCTTCAGTAAAAGGAGTTGCAGTTCTTTTTGTCAATCTTTGGGGAACATTTCCTTTAAGGAAAAAGAATGTGATTTTTTTGTGTGTGTGACAGATAATTTCCAATTCTCATTGCATCTCTTGTTTGTGCTTTTTTTATTTCAAGGTGCTAGAGGACTTAAAATGTTTACACTATTATTATTTTTTAATATATTTTATTGATTTCTTTACAGAGAGGAAGGGAGAGAGATAGAGAGCTAGAAACCTTTCAGTCCGCAGACCGATGCTCTATCACTGAGCCAAACTAGTTTCAGCTGTTTACACTATTATTAAGATCATGTTTGAATTCCCAAGTTTGGCCTCTCCCATGCCACTGACACTGAGGTGGAGCAAGGGGTCCTTGTTTAGTACTGAGGGAGGGCCTGGACCCCCAGGCCACACAGGTGATAACAGTTTTCATTAAGACTGGGTGATGAAACATTTAAAAAATTGATGAGATCTAACTCTGACAGACTAACAGGATCCAGCAGACTGTCCGGACTGAACATGAATTGAAGGTCATGCCTAGTCCAGTCCCTGACACATAGTAGATGCAGGAAAGGAGACTAAGACAGTGAGTGATCAATAAATGCTGGGGTCCCTTTGCAATAAATGTAAGCTTTCTTTGGGATTGTCATTCTTAAGCCTCTCTTGCTGCTTGTTTCTTGCAAATAACTTCATGCATTTGGCAACATTGATCAATTCCACCAGGAAACTGTTCACACACACACACACACACACACACACACACACACAGCTCTAAAGCGCAAATTTATAAACCTATACCGTGGTTGTCACTTACTATAGTTTACGATGAACTGATGAACTCCAAGTCACTTCAAGGGAGGCATTTTTTTCTGGCAGAATGGGCGTTTTTGTGAGCAAATTTCATAAGAGAGATTCAAAAATAAATATGCACCTTTGAATAAGTTCAGCATTTGCAGTTCATTAAACGAGGCTGAATAATGGTAGCAGCAACAACCAAACCATGCTTTTTATTATTATTATTATTATTAATCTCACAGAAATACAATAATCCCACTAATTGACAGCAGGCAGTCTGGATTTTTCTGAGCCCAATGCACCGCCCAAACAGAAGCAGGGACTCCCTGGTGTCTCTCTCCAGGCTTCTGCCTCAGAGGGAGCCAGCAGCACCACCCGCCTTTGGCGCCCTGCGTTGGGGACACCACCCGCGGGGAGCTCCGTTTCCGCAAAGCTCAGCTGGCTCGGGAGCTGCGGGGTTCAGGGGAGGACATGGGGCCGCCCGAGAGAGCCCAGCGCAGAGTTTAGCTGGGCAGAGGGGGGACCCTGTGCCCAGCGCCAGGCCTACTGAGGAATCCCCTCTCCAGCCAGGCGCGCCCCCACCCCCCGCTAGAGGCGCACCGCAGCCGGATCCGCCAGAATTTCAACACAAAGGGAATCCTCGGCCGCAGGAAGTGCATCACTAGGAAGGGGAGGGGGGGAAAGAGGCGGGGAGAGGGGTTGCTTCCCTCCCTCCCTCCCTGCACTCCAGCCCTCCCAGAGCCCTGGGCAGCGGTGACGAAACCCTCAGGGTTCCCCTTGGCCGCAGGAGCCAGGAGAATTCAAACAAGGAATCCCACCACCCCCTCCCCCCCAAAAAAAAAGAAATAATAAAATAAAATAAAAACATAAGTGGGGGAGGGCGCTCTCGCCTGCAGCCACGCCCGAGCTGCCTCTGGCTCGCCGGGGCTCACACACCTGTTCGCTTCCCCCTCCTTTCCTTCCGGGCGCCCAGCACCTGCGCCCACGTTTGTTTTTCTACCTCTAAACTCTCCACTTTCTACCTCTCCTTCCCTTCCGCGGGTGGCTGTATGTCCCGTGCCGGGTTTGGGCTTGGTTTTCCCGGGCAGGCCGTCGGTGGAGAGGGAGTTCCCTCGTGGGAAGAGGGCAGGGACGGGGCCGGGGACCGGGACGCGGACAGACCACTTTCGCTTTCCTAGATGTTTGTTCCAGGGACTCGGCCGCTGGGCGAAGGCCGAGGGGGCAGCTGGGCTAGTGAGTCTGAAGCTGTTTCTAATAAGGCAGCCTGGCCGGGTTTATTTTTTACTTGCGCTGTCATTTTGCAAAGCAATAAAAACAGCAAACTTTTCAAGAAATGTTTGCTTCACATTTCACCGGAGACAGAGGGAAGCCACCCATTGTAGGAAAAGCTATTATTTTCTCCTATTTTTTTTTTTTTAATAGTTTAGAATGGCTTGGGGAGACCAATGGCCATTTCCCGGGTGATGGGCGAGGGGCCGCGCAGTGAACTCCAGGCCGCCGGGCGCCGGCAGGTGCGCCGGGAGGGGGCCACCTCCCCCCCCCCCCCCAGGGCTGGGCTGGACACCACGGGGTGGCCTCCCCTCTCAAGTTCAAGGCGGAGAAGGCCCGGTACCTGTCCGGACCTATCTCCTCCCCTTTCTCCAACACCACACCCACGGGACTCCCTCCGGGCTCCTCCAGAGAGAGGGAGCGGGAGCGAACAAAGGGGTCTTTGTTCCCTGGCTCCTGGGGGGTGGGAGATGCGCTCGCGTGCGTTTCCTGGCAGGTCCCCTTAGAGACGGGGAGCTTCGGCGCCCCCAGAGCGCGCCCGGCGCTGCCCTCCAAGACCCCGGTGACTTGGGTCAGGGCGCGGCGCCCCGGCCGCCCTCCGAGGGCGCTTTCCGGGCGGGCGGGCAGGCGGGGTGGGGGGGACGAGGCACGGGCGCCGGGCGGGCACCGCCGCCAGCGGAGGGGCGGGGAGGAGGGAGGAGGAGGGAGGAGGGAGGAGGGAGGGGGCTAGGCGGCTGGCAGAGGTGGAGGAGGCGGGAGAGGAGCCTGCGCGGGGCTGAGCCTGGAGGTGCGGAGCGGAGCGCTCTCGGGGCTGCTCCTGTCTGAGCAGCGGCGGCGGGGACTCGCTTCCTCCCTCCTTCCTTCCAGCCTCCCCCTTCCTTGGGCTCGGCCCCACCGCCACGCCCGGGCGGCCCCCTCCCCGCCATCCCCTCGCTCCCCTTCTCCCTTCTTGGCACTTTCCTCTGGAACAACCCTCCCGGACAAACTTTGATGGAGAATTTCACACCACGCTGGAAAGATGCCGGTGATGAAAGGACTGCTGGCGCCCCAGAACACCTTCCTGGACACCATCGCCACCCGTTTTGACGGCACCCGTAAGTCCTGCACTTGGGCCAGTGGCCCGGTATTTTTTTTTAATAATGATTTTTTGTGTGGGTGTGTTGTGGGTGGACATGACTTTCGCTCCCACCTTCTTTTTGTGCAACAGCGGAGTGGATTTCCTTCTGTTCCTGCCAAGGTGTCTTTTGTGCGGAGAAATGTTTTCATTTCCTCCTGTGGTTGGGTGCAGCCAGTGCCCACTTTGGTGTTAACTGGGCTCCTTGGTTACTTGGGGCTCAAAAGAGCCTGAAGGCTGGTCCCCGTTCCCTTTAGGACCTTGTCTTTTCGGTACCTCTTTCGGGGATTGGTTTTTATTAAGTTGATGAGGTGGGAGTGGGGATTGTCCATAGTGGTGACTATGCCACAGTAATCCCACATTGTCAAGTCTTCCTCGGTGATAGGGAGAGTTTGGACTGTTCCTGGTCCCTGGAGCTTTCTTCCGTGAGGTCTTTCGGATGGCATGATTTCCCATGGAGTTTAAGGAACGCAGACTAGAACCAGGAATTGCCAAGTGTAAGCTTTCTGTGGGATCCTAAACATTGTGAGTCTGTCAGAATCTTGATTTCTGCTTTACACTAGCAGAGAGTACCTTTCCATCCCGAAATGATCCTAACACTAGAGGAGAAATTGTTGGGGAAGGAGAAGCTGGGCATTAGAAAGGCTGATCTTACCAGAAAAGAAAGTTTTGGCATTTTTTAAGGGGAACTGTTACTGGACGTGTAGCTTGTTTATATGGCAGGTGTGTGTGTGTGTGTGTGTGTGCGCGCGCGCGCGTGTGTGTTGTGATTGTTGTTTTAAAGAGAGAGAGTGTGTGTTCTATCGGAACAACTGTTCTATTTCAGGACCACGGTCAGGTCCTGATCCCTTCCCAGTCTTTCTCTAGCTCCCTTCTCCATCCCTTTGGTCTTCCCAGTCAGCTTTCTCCCTGTAATTAAAGTCTGTAGTCACTTCTCCAGCAAATGTATCTCAGTCGGTTTCACTATGAATATCCATTCACACTTTCCTCCTAGCGTATGTTGCTTCCATGCTATCTCTCTTTTTTCTTACTATTACACCAGACTCCTAGAAACTCATTAATTTAAAAGGCTTCCCCCCCCCCCCCCCAGTGGTTCAGGTATTATTGTGTGTGGTGGGTTTTTGAGATTTTTTTTTTTTTACTATGATGTGTTTTGGAGCTGGTATGGAGACCTTATTGAATTTTATTTCCACTCCAGTGTTCTAGATACACACTCTAAGGATGATGGGAAGTAACGCCTGGACTTTTGAACTTCGGGAATACTCGGGAAACTTTACATAAGGGAGAGATGAAGCATTCACTTGATTTTGTTCAATTTTTGTTCTTGACATCCAGCCTACGCTTGGTAGCTGGGGTGGATAGTCTTCCGGTGTTATCTTTAGCTGTAGCCACTCTGTCCCTTTTTACATTCTAGATGTGTCAGGCAGCATAAGAAAAGTGCAATGCCATGCTATATCTGTCTTCCTTAAATAATAATACGACCAAAATTTGCAATAAAATGTCAAGTCCCTGCTACTGCCGTTACCTCCACCACCTAGCCATCACACAAATTTACCCCTACCCCTTAATCATGCATGATTGGGGGGTGCTGTGTTTATTACCTTAGGAAGTAATTAGTTTTATGTAGATGTTTAGTCTTGACGTTGCCAATGTAATACTCCTTCCTCAAAGCCTTCTGACATTGGTCACAAGGCATCTATTGAAAAAAATGAAGTAATTGGCAAAAAGTAGTTGCTTATATCATTGTCATTTAAAGTTGCATGGAGAGCCTTGTGCAGTGAGTCATCCAGGCATAGCCCTGGGAATTACTTCAGGGTTCTACTTAGATATCAATTGCTAATGAGGGGCTTTGGATCCTCAGTATGAGGATGCTTCTGTCGCTATCATATTTGACAAGCAGAGGGCATTTAGAAAGAGAGAGAGGTGCACTAGTGAGTAGGTCTTTTTCTATCTTAACTACACGTTAATGTTAATAAAATAGAAGGTTAGACATTTTAAATCCTTATCTGGGAAGACATTCACATATTCAGCATTTAGAATATTAAAAAAAAAAAAAAAAAAAAAAAAAACGTTAAAACTGTTGGAGTGCATGCTTTGTTTGTGATCCACAGCTTCTGGGGAATTCCTGGAGGGAACCACTTTGGATGATATCAATCTGAAAATCAGTGAAGCACATTTCAAAGTGATGAGTAGCACAAATGTTTTGTTTACAACATTTGCTGGCTATTCCTGGTCCCAACAAACCTCACTCAATGAAAGAGGATTATACTTTCACATTTGCTCTTTGTTTGAATTGCAGGATGACTTGAATAATCGGACACTTAAAAAAATACTTGAAGCAAATCTTCATCCCCCAAATTTCGCCGTGTCTAGAATCATATGCATACCATTTCCCCAGCTAAATATTCAGTTTATCATGTTATGCTATCTTTTCTGTGTTGACATGATTTCGTTTAAGTAAAATTTTTATCCTGGAAACTCTTTTCCTATGGTTTTTCTTCTTTCTCATGACTTTTTTTTATAGTGGTCATTTATTTTCTTGTGCAAGATAAAACTGTTAGCAAGTTTTAATGTTGCTAAATTGTTACCCCCTCAAATAAAAATGATCCTAGAGAATGGACAATATTATTATACTAACAATGCAATGTGCTTACTTGATAAATTTTTCTGCATTATTTTTTGGGTACATTTTAGTGTCACGTTAGTTTCTTATTTTATTTTGGACAATTTTGATAAAAATCCAGTCAGCAAACAATAACCCTGAAAAACCACTTTGCTAACTTAACCATGATACCTGTAGTATTATTGTTAGCCCTCTTGATTTAATATCTATATATATAAAAGTCTAATATGCAAAGTATCCCCTTGGGAGTTCGACCCATAGACAGGAGTCCAGGAGTTTGATCGTTCGCTATGACATGCACTGACCACCAGGGGGCGGCCAGAACAAAGGAAGGCCCCAATTGGCCCTGATTGCCAGCCAGGCCTAAGGACTCTACCCATGCATGAATTTTGTGCACCAGGCTTCTAGTTATAATAAAAAATAATAAGACAAAACGGCATCTAACATTTCCCCCAGGAAAAAAAACAAGTATATGACAAGAAAAGCCTACAACATCATCTTACTAATGTATCATTAGATGTATAATCACAGGGCAACATAAAACAAGTTAATATACTTTTTCACCTAGTGACATTTTATTGTTTTACATAATATGATATATTTTACTTTTAATATTTAAAAAGTGAGCTTTTTGTCAGTATTTAAAGACAATTGTGGACCATTAATTAAATTGTTTTTCTCATATACAATGTTATTTAAAAAAAAAACTATTAGAAAATATAAATCTTTGTATATAAACTACCCTAAAATATATTTACTCTTAAGATATCTTCTCATTTGTGTTTAATTCAAGTGCAAATGAGACTTAGAAAAACTAAGACCTTGGAAATATTGAATATGTCTACCTCATTTAGCGGGAAAAACAACCCCAATTACTTTATTTAACTCATTGCATGTAGCTATATTTCTCATTTGAAATACTCTAAAACACACACACACACACAATCTTAGCATTATGACTTGCATATAGTTTACTCCTCCATAGTTCCTTTTTAAAACACATTTAATGTATTTAAAAATATATATTTTGTTAGTAGAATTTTGCTTTAAGTACATGAATATTAACTTGGACAAAGGGAACATATAATAAGAGGACACAAGTACTGATTTTATAAAATAGTTTTCAGTGCAAATATTTGCCACAAAGTACCATTGGAGAAAAACCCATTTTTTTTTTTGAGAATATAATACTTATTCTCAAAATAGCCATTCTCAAACATAATGGTACATTAGCCTACATTTTCTAGTCATATCAAAATTTGGCCAGACTACTTCCCCTTTGGGGTTAATGAGGCAAGGTTTAAGCTTTAAAGGAAGTCTGGGGCCCAGTGGTCTCTGTCAAGGAGATTTCCATCAAAGCATTCAAGAACTGTGCTTCAGAAACTCATTCATGTTTGCATATATTTTATGTACTCCAATTAAAGGCTGTTCAAACGGTCCAAGAAAATGTGTTCAAATCAAAATACTTTCTTTTCAGAGGCAATTCTCAGTGATTTTTTTTTTTTGGACTAGAAAGAAAAGGGAATGCTTTACACTTTCATTAAATTGCATAGATCCCTTAACATTAAAAGTATAGAGAAAATGGCAATGTCCCCAATGTCCTCAGAAGGGGGAAGGATAAGGTGAGACTGTGGAGATCTGAAGTCTTTGCTTAGTTGCAGTGTGGGAAATATCTTACATTAAAGGCAGGTAGCCAATAAAAAAAGATGTGCTCCGTTATTACAGGTCTGTGTGTATAAAAGGCTATTAGGTGAAAACAGGAAAGAAAATGTCTAGCACTTCATAAATATCTTCCCACAAATGGAAGATTCTAAAGACTTTTTAAATTTTCACATGGTATTACAGTTTCTTTTATTGCTCTTCTTTCTGTTTAGGGAGGTAGTTCCTGCCTCAGTTTTCTGTATCTATTTAGCACATTTTCACAAACTTCGTGGCTTCTTATCTCACATTTTCGCAAGGCCAGACATCCAGGCAAGGATTAGCTGGGTCCTCTGCTCAGGGTCTCACAAGACGGCAAACACGTTGTCAACTGTGACCTGATCTCAGCTGAAACTAGAGGCCCTTTTCCAAGCTCATGTGGTTGTTGGCAGACTTTAGTTGCTTGTGATTTTATGATTGAGCTCTCTTTTTTTTTTTTTTTTTCTTGCTGGCTGTCAGCCAAGGACTTTTCAGCAACTAGAAGCCACCTTCAGGTTCTTGCCACATGGCCTTTTATATAGGCCCTCTCATAATAGAACAGCTTACACCTGTCTTTAAGACCAGCACAACTGCCCCCCCCCCCTTTTTTAAGAGCTCATCTCACTAAGTCAGGCCCAGCTAGGATATTCTCTCCTTTGATGAACTCAGAGTCAACTGAT